GATTAACTCTAATTCTCAAGGCAACTGAACAAAAACATTTGCCTAAATTCAGACACATTTTAAATACTGATCCAGAGACATGTGACAGCCTGAAATTGCAGTGTAACAAGATCACAGCCACTGATGTTACTTAACGTTGGGACTAGCTTTTTTTCAAAAAAAAGGTAGCTGCTGTACTGTACAATATGGAACATATATTAATGATGTATAATGATTAAAGGCTGTTTAGTTAAGGACACCAGGTGAGGGAATGATATTGCTGATTATTATAGCTCTATGCACACAGAGGCACACAGTTCTGGGCAGCTTATCCAGCAGGGTGCTGTGTACACAGCAGGCTAAAGACAGAAACATTAACTAAATCAAAAGATTCGGATCATTTATCTTATTGTTGCATGGAGAAGAGTTTATCTTTCAAGCCAGCACACCTGCTCTCCTTGTAAAACTTCACTCGTGCCATTACTAAGCATGTTATTGTTTCTTGTTCAAACATGCCGCTGCAGGAGCGGGACGGAGTTAAGGGTGGGTGTCCCTCTTTGAGCGAGCACCCGGCCCTGCATCTGCACATCCTCACTCGTGCAGGAGCACCTGCCACCGACTCTGGGGGCAGCCATGCATATTTGAAGTAGACAAGCTCCATTTCCCATTTAAGTTACCCGCAAAAAGGATGCTCGACTAAAATCAAGCATGAGATTTCAGAGACTTTCACAAAAGCAGCACAAACTTCTCATTTGCACTTCTGCCCATGAGATAAAGTGGGAATTAGATTTGAGATTTTAATAAAGTTTGAGAACTTAACGGAAGGTGTTAGTGTGGCAAGCTGGACTGAAAATCTCATTGACATTGATATTTAGGAAGAAGCCTAGAACGTCTCCAAGACAAAAGTTAGGTGAAATGTCATACCTCTGACCAAAGGAAGAGTTCCATGAGAATGGCACCAAAGCCATGTGGATGAATAGTCACCTCAAAAGTAAGCAAAAGTCACTCTAAAAAAGTAACATTAGGGACAAGGAAGTGTGCAACCAAAGTCACAATTATTCCAATTAACCTGATTTAGACCTTACTCAAGAAAACAAAATATAGTAAAAAATTTCAGCCATTTAAATAAAATGAAAACCATGGCAACTGAGGCTCCTCTGAAGTGATAATAGGGTAGACATTACAGATGTTCTAGAGATGATCTGAAATCTAAACAGAGGCTTCTTCTCTAGGCCTTAGAAGGGAGAGTGACATAAAAAACAGAAGCAAAGGCAGAATGGCTAACATGAAAGAGGCTATGGAGACAGAAGTTACCACATCCTAAGAAGCCGCGTGCTAAAGAAGGGACTGCGTAGGCTCCATCCCAAGAACCTCAAAAAGCCTGTCATGGGAAGCTGTAAGATCAGTGGCAATACTTTGAACAAATATTTCAAGTGAGGAAGGGGCATGGGAGATGTAAATAGGTGCGTAGCACTGTTCAAGAGCAAAATAACCAATCCTGCACCCTTACTTAGGGAAGATCAAAACAAAAAAGACCTTTGTTCTATAGATCATCATAGAATGACCAATAGCCTTCAACAACAGATGTTACAAAGGCAGACATGCTCCTAGCATGTAGCATGTGAAGTTTTTCCAGTGCAGCCAGGGAAATATTTCTGCCATTAAGCTAGGTGGTGGCGCAGCCTCATCTACAAGACTGTGAGGGCTGTGCAAGACTGGTCACCCATGAATGAGGAACTGAAACCAGAGCAGGTGCAGGGAAAGGCTATCCAGGAAATAATGAACCTATTTTACAAGTGGACACTGAAAAAGCTTGGCTTGTTTAGCCTAGCAATATGAAGACTGAGAAAGGATATGGTTCCTCATTATAAACACATCAAAGTGATAAGTGTAAACGTTAGGTAGAAAGGAAAGCTACCTAGGTAGGGGACAATACTGGCATAAGAACAAATAAATATGAATGGGTCATGAAAAAAGCTGGATATTAGAAGGTTTCTAAGCAACCTGAACAAGGTTCTCATACAGCAGTACAGCAAACAGAGGACTAGGGGAGATGAATTATTTCTGGTATTTGATATAGATAAAAAAGACAGTATGCGATCTGGTTGGCTTTAATGGCAGCAGACATTGCCTGGGAGGCCCATCCTAGTCCTATCCTTGACATTCCTAAATGCTTTTTACTATCTGGAGGGGAAACTACATATACAAAGGTCAGACTTAGGATCTTTGGAAATTTTGGATAAAAACACCTGAATAAATAGATCTTATATTAGGCCAGTCTGCAAAAGTCAAAAGGAAACGATAGCTTCCTCTTGATTGCTAGCAGCTGCAATCCCTGCCATTCAGCAAGGGTGTTGGCAAGTAAATCTCCACAGTCACAGACCCACCTACGTACACATTCAGGGTGCTCCCAGCCTGTTTCCTACGTACCTGCAGAAGCTGCAACTATGGCATATGGTGCTGTAGCATGCAAGGACACAGAGGGCTCCTTCCACAGCACTTGTGTGGCAGAATCACAGTGTTCTCACAGACGGGACCGCATCTAACCTTGAAATGCACAATTCTGTGGCAATTCCCCATGGCCAGCCAGCCAGAGGCCAAGGATGCTTTAAGGCAGTAAAGGCCTCAAGAAAACCCAAACGATCGCTTTGAATGCAATGCAGCAACAGTCAGATGCTGCATAACTCTCTCTGGGAGTTCTCCAAGAACCTGGCAGCACAGAGAAGTACGGTGAGTCTCCACGTGATGCCACTCCTGACACACATGTGCCAGCAGCCATGAATAAGGTCAGGAGTTAGCCTGAGAATTAGCCTGGGGAAGCAGTGGGCCCAGAGGCTGGGGTACAGATTACTCTCAGATCTTCAGGACTTGTGCAGTAGATGGACTCTCCACGCAGTTCTTGGTATTTTTCTCTAGGGCATGCCTGCACCCTACTGACATAATTGCCTTTTTCCCCCCCGTATTCTATATCCTTTTGCATGAAAGTCAGTGGAATGAAACTATCAAAGTTTCCTTAGCATAGCTTTCACACAATTCATGTTTATTCCCATGAGTGAGGCATGTGAATTTGCTGAGATGTTTGCTCACTCCTGATCTGTACATAGCACTGCAATGCAAATGAGAAAACCAAATCAGTTAGATGATTTATAATCTCGCTTAGAGTGTTTAGTTACAATCATAGTGCAAATAATAAACAAAATGCAGTTGTAACGCTCAGGTCCCTCTCCTGAGACCGCTGAGATCGCTCTTTCTTAAGCACACTAATCTGGTTTGAAGTAAGGGATGCTGAACATCTGTACTGGGCACTATTTCCTACTACCTGGTACAGACAGACAGTTAGCAAAACTAAATACAACGGCAACAACCCCTCCCCCACACCTTCATACATATGCAAATGCAGAAGAAAAACTTAAGCCCCCCTCCCCTCCCCCCCAAAAAAACCGAAAGGAGGGAGGAAGGAAGATTACAAATCAGGTTAAATGGGCCAGTAGTTCTAGCACGAATAATAGATTGTAAATAAATAAATAAAAGTAGTGGGTGGTAAAGCTTTAAAGCTTACAATGGGATTCCTCATGTCAAGCAACTGCTGATTAATCTGAATAGAAATTAACAGCAAAACTGGAAGATAATTGCGTAGCAGCTCTGTCTATCGTGGATCCAGAGCGCAGGTGCTAGGCTACATCTGCCCCTGAGGACAGCACAGAGGCCATTATTCTTACCCGGAAAACACGCTGTCTCACTTTCACAGCAGAAGACTCAGGAGGACAGAGAAATGCTATCAGTTTGATGGCCATCAGTTCCATAATCATCCTACACCCATCTCCCCAGAGATGTATTTAGTATCAGATGCATTTTTCAACCAAATAAATATTCCAGACTTCAGTGTTAATATACCATGAAAATGACAGCACCATGCTACACGGAATACTATAAATTAGACCTCGAATACAGCACGCCAGAGAGGAATAGCTATTACTCTCTTCCCCCGTCTTCCCCTACCCTCCAGAAGAGGCATATTTTTATAGGAAGAAGAAAAAATGATTTCTTTTAACAATTGCTGTGGTTTTGAGGTAGATACTCTTCTCCCACTGATGGAGGTCCCTAAATATCAAGAAATAAGTACTGACAGGGCCGGCAAACTGGACATTTTTAGTTCAGAGAGCAGTGTTGTTTTAAGAGGTGAGCTGGATTTGCTTTATCTTCCCTCCTGTCTCTTTTTTCCCCCTCCCTCTTCCCTCACCTCATCTCTCTCCTTACCCCTCCCTTCAGGGCTACATAAACCAGAGGGCAGGGCATCCAGCTGCTTCCACAACAGAACAATGTTTGGGCAGAGTCCATGTTGACACAAGTGCATTATATCCTGAAGGGTCAACTGCAGCTTTTTCTTTTATTTTCTTTTCTTTTTTTTTTTTTTGGAAGGGAGTACTTTTTCTTCACCAACTGCATAGAATTAACCTCCTACTTCTGCACAGCTGCCATTCATCCAAAATTCATGACCTCATCTAATTGTCATCGTACTACCCTGCCGGTTTAAGAGTATTATTATTCTCCCATTAAAACAATTAGCAATCATCCCCTTCCTTAACATTTAATAAAAATTACACCTAGAACACGCACTTAGAACTGGTTAGACAACCAACACCTTCCTTTCCCGTCTTGGGCTTTTCTGAGAGAGGATTCTCTCAGCTAAAGGTCACACACAAAAACACAATATACCAGCCCACGGCTCCCTGCCTTTGGACACCAGAAGAGAGCAGCAGTGCTCCTCACTCAAGCCTTCAGCACTGCAGCAAAGGTGAAGCTCCTTCTATGGTGTGCAAATGTCAAGAGACGAGAGTTTACAGGGCCACCTTCCGGGCAGTGACGTTTTGCACTGCGTTATGCGCTAGGGTTTGTTCCAGGGTTCCGTAAAAATAAGACCCCAAAGTCCACTGGCCATAGCTACTCTGAGATCCAACCGGGTGCTCACAGCTCACTCAGGGGCATCCAAACTCATTTCACAGCAGCTAGCACCTGAGCAGGTTGCTCTCGTGTGTGAACCTACCAGCCTGTCTGGATAAATGCTGGGGCCACTGGCTTAGACCAAGTTCTATGCTTGCAGCTACGCTGCAGCATGTTTAGCCCTAACTCGGGTATGCCCGCATGGGCTTCACTAACCATCCTGGGGACCGCAGCTTAGACATAGCCAAAGGTAAGGAACAAAGTCAGACAGTTTAATACAAGAGTGCCGTGGCAGGTTATTCGGGTATTGCAATTTTTATTTCATCTGTGTTTTACTTCAAATTGTAGCCAGACAATTAGTGCACTTTTAATTAAAACATTATTTACAGGAAGCCTGCAAATGCTAGCTGACTCAGTAATTTTTTCCCCTTTTGTAGTGTGGAGTTGTCCATGGGGTCAGCATGCTGTATATAACCCTCTTCCACAGCACACCTAATCTGATTGGCTCTGTGTTCCGCAGGAACGGTGAACTTTACACCTAAGAGGGCCTCCAGCGGTAGGCACCGTCATGTCCTTGTTTGAGAAATACCTTCTTAAGTGCACCAACCTGCTGATCTGAAAGGGGCAAAACATCTTCCATCACAGGTACGCAACAGCCCCAGCCAAAACACTGTTTCATGTTTCTGGGAAGTGGAAATGTTCCTCAGCTTTTCAGAGCGTCCCACTCTGTAAAATGCAATTTAGCTAGAGTTTAACTAACGGAGCTGCTTGCAGAAAGGCATATCAGACACAAATCCATTTAGATTTGTTGTTTAGATTTTGAGCCAAGAAGTAGCTTTACTGGTAAAACTCCTCCCAAATTTGAGATTAAAATTCTCAGGATAAGAACTCCTTGATTCCTCTAGCTACTCAAAAGAGAGCATGTTTTCTCCACTGCATAAGTTTTCTCTCGCAATATACCTCACAGTCCATTAAAAGTGGACTATCTGAAGATGCTTGTATTCTTCTCTTCTAATAAGACCTGTACTAAAATAAGCACATGCAACTTCAGAAAACCCCACTTCTGATACTGACTACACATCATAATTTCGTGCCCAGGCATTTCAGATATGAAACAGTCAAACAAATGAAAAGAAAGATATTTTTCTTTTTGAAAAGAAACTTCCACTATTCTTTTTCCCAGGCAAAGTCTTTGTGTGTTTGTTCTTCCAAAACACAATACTGTGGTATCTTGGAGTTTCTGAAGTGGCAGTGTAGGCACTGTACGCTTATGTTTCATTGAGTGCTCGTTCAAAACAGCTGTATGTTCTATATAAAACATGTTTACATAGTAAATGTACTTCCTGTAGACACAAAGAAATGTTAATGAATAACCATTCCTGCATTTCAAATTTTGCAGGGCTACGGGAAGGATCAGTGCATGGCAAAATAGTTAATGTTCACCCACTTTCTGGCACATGAAATCTGTTACTACAACTAATCCCTTACAGAGAAAAGAAAACATGGAAAACAAACTGGCGCTGGCTGGCTGGTTCTACTAGGCTTTTTTTTTTTTTTTTCCCCCTTTCTTTCTTTCTTTCTCCTCTCTCTGTAGAGAAACTGTGAGATGCATATACATGGGAGAGGAACAGAGGAAGTATTCAGTGGAGAATGCCAGAAGGCATGGACTCCTTTTGGTAAGCAAGGCTGTTGGTTTTAATTGTATACATTGTCTTGGATTCTCACCTTCAGAAAAAATGCCAGTTTGATCTCACAGAATATTCATTACCCGTATTTACAACCTACCCCCTGGAGCCTAATGGAGGCAGACAACAGGTATTTTAAGTTCAGTCAGTTTCTATTTGAAAATATATATGCCTTAACAAAAAAGCAAACCAAAACAAAAAAACCTACAGACTTATTTGATAATAGATCTTCTGCATTTGTCCCTGGAAATTTAAGAAAGCAAAAATCAGGTGATCCAACCTACAGCACTGCCCCTGCAAAATTTCAAAAGACGACTGACTGACTTTTACTGTAAGCAAAGTTCTTGTTGAAACATAAAAATGTTAAGGACTTAAGAGTTTGGAACATTACTGTGAAATACCACACATAATCCCCCTTCCCTGGGAAGTAAGCCACTAAGTTTATTAGGCTTTTCTACGTGCTACTTTATCTAAAATACATACTTAATTCTTCCAGTCCTCTGAAAAAGAAGCACACATAGGAACCACTCTACTTCAAGGGAAACCCAAACAGCATGGGGTAGATCCTTAGTAGAGTAAAACCTCTCCACTGAAGTAGATGGAACGGGAATCTGCTGAGCATCTGCAGACCAGTTTATGGAAAAAAAGGTGATATACCATACAAGGACAAGATGCAGTAATTGTAGCATAAGGCAAAAACAAGCTTTGTTGGGGATGTTCCAACATTTCCACACAAGATTTCACAGCATACAAAAATTGCTTCATGTGAATGATAATCTTTTTTAATTGCAACGTCTCTGCATGGTCTCTGAAAATGCTACTGTGGACGTGGATTTCAAAGGCCACCCAACAAGCAAGGTTCAACTATATATTCTTCACAGGGTAGCATAAGAATAGCACGTTTCACTTTTAACAGACTGAGAAATCATTACCATAGCAGTCAGCCTGAGACCTCAGAGCAATTTTCTCAATAAACACAGTCCTTGAGCAGAAAACACTAAATAAAAATATCACTTTTGGACAAAAGGTGTATTTTGCTTTTGAGACAGCAATTTTTTTCCCCCATGATATCACTGTCAGTAACACAGGACAATCTGGAATCCTTTCTTTTAGGAATGTTACATTTTGCAAGAAGCTAACTACAATTTATCAAATTAAACACAGAGAACTCTGAAATTACTTGGGGGTGGGGGGGGCGGCTTGAAGGACTTCTGGCAAATTTGAAAAGTCCTTGGCAAGTACTTTGGGGACTGTGATGAACCTCCGGGTAATTATTAGAATATTGTCTGCAAAATATTATTTTAGAGATGTTCAAAATCCAAAAGTGATCTGAAACAAATGAGAGAATAATGAGAGAAATAAGAGAAAAAAGTTTCACTTGAAGCAATACACACCATGAAGGATACGTGTAAGGAATAATAACGCTGACAAAGTTAAAATAAAAATTGATTTCTTAATATGTGTTCTAAGAAAGCTAAGAAAGCAAATGTCAGAGTGCAATGCAATTTTGAATTACCAAACACTGCCACCACGTGTTTGCTTCAAAGACTATCAGGCTGCTTAAAAGCAGCTAGAAGATATGCAACCAAAGATACAAGTAAATCAAATTTGTTGCTCTATCTGTTCCTGTAAGACCTCTCCATATAACACAATAGGAATGACAACCCCCAAAAGGTTGCATTCGAAGTTCTAAATATTTGTCAGCCACGTGTATGACCTTTCTATAAGGATGCGTGATGCTGATTCGGCCCCCTTCTGTCATCATGATGGAGACCAGTTAACTAGAAAATGACAGAGAGGGAATAAGTATTGTTTCTACACACAAATGCCTACCATAATTGACATTTCATTGTGTTTGTACAGTGCTCAGCTCAACAAACTTCTGCTTCAACATGATGGTCCCTAGAGGTTACCAAAAACACAAATATTCACACAACTGCAAAATAATTACTTCAAAGATCAGCTTTTCTTCAAGCTCCTACATACATGAACAAAGACATTCATGTAATGATGGAGACAATGGATTCAGAGTGCTTAATTTTCACCTGTTCCCATGTAAAACACATAGGATTCCTACTCTTACTCGAAAACTAAGTCCATTCCATCTGAACTAAGAACACAGTTTATTATTTAAAACTATCTTTTATCCGAAACCTTTCTTCTAGATGGAAGGGGGAAAGCAGGGGAACTGCATCTCACTACTGAAAAGCTAAAATGATTAAACATGCTCCTCTTCTCATTTAGACAGAATATTCAAGAAGATGAAGAGGAATTCCATTGACTTGTGCAGAAAAACAGATACCTGATTTTCTTCAATGTTTTCAAAATTTCTGTCATAAATTCTTTGAGTTAGGGTGCTTGACATTAGCTTGTAAGATTAAAGAGCAAGAGAAGCAAACTGACAGCATTTTTTTTCCTCCCTATTAATTAAGCTTGCATGAAGTGGCTGAAGAGTAATCACTTCCTCATTAGCACTACCCAGTTTTCAGAGATTCTTTGTAAACAAAACATTTCAACCACCTTCCTCAGACCATGTTGCAGGCTCCACATCTATGCCTCTATCACTTTACAGAGCGAATACTAGTTTCGGGGAAACACAGAGCTCAGAGGGCAAGGCCAATAATTAAAATAGATGTAAGTAATGCTTTGATGCAATACCACACTTGCGCTAACACATTCTTTGGTACAATTCTAGATATTTGAGACTTCAGGAATGGAAGAATTTTGAAAAAGACTGGACAACTATTTGAATGCCTAAGGGATGACAATGCAATTTTGGATAGATCAGCTCCAGACAATTATTTAGGACAACAAAATCGGAACACTTGCATTGAAACTTGACTTGTTTTGTCAGCTTTACCTGTGTGTGCACCCTCTGGATGTCTCTGGTTATTCCAGGCTTCTTTCGCTGTCAGGAATATTCAATGTTCACAGTCAAGACTCTTTCTATTGTCTTAAAACTCAAAATGACTCCAAATAGATGGCAAAGATGAATAACAGAAGCGGAGAAAGTCATTTCAAGAAACTTTTAAGAGGACAAACACAATCTTTTATCATGTCTTAGGCCATTTGTTCTTCAAAATACACTGCAGAACATATACTTATCCTCCAACTCTATTCTGTAAGTCTTGTAACAGTATCAAGAAACCACGAGCCATGCATTTAGCTCTGCTGGAAGAGTCTAAGAAATAATAGCGTCGAGTCAGAATTAAGAAGATTGATCGAATCTGTTCCAAATTTGTCTAACAAGAGATGGTAGCAGCATTCCCATCAGGGAGTTTCAGAAGTAGGAAAAACAAATAGAAAAGCTACAATTTACCCTATTACTCTGACACTAAACATTAAATAATTGCAAGGAAGCATGCAAAAGTTTGCTGAGCAGGTCCCAGAGGAGGTACAGATACATTTTAGGCATATAAACACTCCGGTGAAGTTGATGCCCTAACTGATCCATCTGTATGTTACTAAGTTTGCAATTGCTTTATGCTAAGTAAGCATAAACTTGAAATAAATTTGAAATAAGCAGGAAGAAATGTACCTAGTATTCAGGGAAGCCCTCCCCTCTCATCTTCTTAAATATTTCCATTAAGTGCTAGTGACTTCCCCGTTCGGAGAATTTACCAAGTTTTAATAACCTGAAGAGATAAGTGATTACACAATTATTGGGTGGTTTTCTGGAGTAAATGATATAAAATGATGCAAGAAAAACCCTGAAGACTATTCTTCTTTCACATTAACCACTGTTTTCCATTTGCAAATACAAGGATTACATGTACTGGAGGGACTGCTTTTTTGCAAGTTCACTAGCAAACACAGTTTTTAATTGCTCAAAAACAGTAACCAAACTAGTTGAGCTGGAACAACTGAATCAAGCACATATATTGGTATAGTGTAGGTGTGTCTTTTTACAAAGGACAACCCTTCTCTATGAGTAACTTTTCTAAGATGGTCCTTCAAGGAAAAATGGGGTGCTAGGCAACCAGTTTTGTCTGTATATTTGCTTCTACTGCTCTTATTTATACAATCCTGTGAAGTTTATAGCGTGTCCAATTTCTTATTGCAGCTTCAAAGGAGCAAATCACATCTCTGGCACTAGTACCTCTGAAGGAGAGGCTGCCAATGTACTCCTTAGGCACACATGGATGAAAAGAACTACACACAAGATGATTCTAGCAAAGTTTAAACAGAGGAGGAAAATGAGAACCACTATGCTGTTAAAAATATGCATCTCTGGTCTTTAAAGTGCTTTTCAGTACATGAACATACTTCCAGTAAGAAAAAAGTGCATCATCTGTACTTTTAAACTATGACTGTGTTTTAACTTCTTAATCTCCTTCCTACAACAAATAGGTAAAGCTTAAATACATCTTTGCCTTACAAAACTTATCACCAGCAAAGCAGATGTCCTAAATGACACTACCAAACTACACTTAGCAGAAGGTAACACTTCTGAGCAAAGAAAATGGATAGAAATATCCTTTCAAACACAAAGTTAGGATTTGCTACCTCAGGTATCAAAAAAAAGCTGAAATTTCTGACTCTGTCTGTGGCTCACAGGCTATATTTGATTCATTATGCTCTATTCCCACCTTTAATCCTTCTTCTCTAACTCTCACTTCTCACATCACTTAATTCTGTAGTTAAAAAAAAGAGTTTAAAAAGGATATAAAAGTTCAATTTCAAACACACAATATATTGCAAGGGTAGTACAAAGGAGGTAATATGATCTTAATTTATATCCAATTCCCTCTCCCAAAAAACCCGAACTAGTAAGCAGTTCAGTTATTCTCTCACTGATTTCCAGTGAAGAAATATTGTAAAGAATCATATTAAAAACGTAACTTGAACCTCGAATCCTTTGTATAGCCAAACATTCTGCAGACATTACCCTATGGCTTTACCCTCTGTAGGATAAAGCAAGAGGATATATATATGGGTGGTCTTCTGAGAGTCAGTTCTTAAATTGATGCATTCCTTTGAAAGGCTACTCACTGGGGATGAGAAAGGGGAGAACTGCTTTCGAAAAAAATAAATTATTCAAATGTAGTGTGCAACAGGGGAAAATTTTATGAACTATAATGAATGTGTCTAAGGGTGTGTACATATGAGTGTTCAGATTTAATCTGTATGAAATTAACTCACTAGCTAAGGAGATAACTACCGGGAATTAGTAGATGAAAACAAAAAATATTCAAAACAAAAAAAGACATGCATTATGCAAAAGTTATTTTCTATCCCTGCTCTTTTTTTTTTTTTTTTTTTTTTAATTCTGGAACATAAGCAACTGGGTTAGTGTGTTATTAGCTCTATCTTTGCGCAAGGTTTGACTCCGTTTTGAATAGTAATGCTGTCAATTTCAATGAGCACTACTGATACTAAATGTTGCAATATTCTTTTTTTTTTTTATAAGCAACAATCAGTGTTTGACATATTTGCAGCATACGTCATCAAAATGAAAAACTACTTTTTCTATTTAAAATTTTTTCAGAACATTTATTCACACTGCTTTCTTAGATATTTTCCACATAATAGAAAAATATGAAAACCAAGCTACAAAACATATAATACACTTAAAACAGAACTTAAAACATCCTGAATTAGCTCACAGCCAATCTTTTCCATTGGATTTGGCACAATCCATTTCTGGGAAGCTTGATCATTCAACTCCAAACTTTCTTCTAATAAAAATAATAAATACTGCACCCAAAATTTGGCAATGACTGATGAAGCTTGTCTTTAAATCTTAGACTTGTGAAATCTGGGGACTCTAAAACTCTCAAAATAGTGTCAAAATAATTTATGTAGCTAACTGCATTAACGCTAGTTTTTTGTCACTGAATCTCTTTATTTTTGTCAAAGCCTTGTTTGTAAGCTCCATGGTTTCATCCCACTTGTTTTTCTCTGGACTTGTGTACGTCACCAAGTTCTCCGTATACTGCAAGACTGACTTCAAAAACCTTTAAGAAATAAAAACAAAGAAGAAAAAAGCATTAAAGGATAAAAGAAAAAGATACCCAATGCCTGATTTAAAGATGCTACTTTCTCTAAATTTCCAAATCTCCCTCTGGATGATCAACACTGTAAATTTTCTTCTACTTCTGGAAGAGAACCATTCCCTCACTCTTGCAGTAAGAAGCAATGATTTTCAGAGCTGCATTTAAACAATGCCATACAGAGTGTGGTGATATAATGTGTAACAGAATTTTCCCCCACAAGGCTTCCTTTCCTTTCACAGTCAAAAGTTTCACAACGCCTACAATATCCAACCAGCTGTAAACTGACACAGAACGAGTAAAACGAATCACTTATTAAACACAGCTTTTATGCATTAATATTGTTTGAGCAAATGATCATTCTCTAGTTTTACTAATGAGGAGTCTAATACAAATTGAAAATGTCAATGGAAACGGAAAAAGGAAAATGTCAACTGGACCATACATTTTCAACTAAGTTATTTCAGTTTTTGAGTGAATGCTATGAGATAACGACAACTGCAGTGACAAAAAGACGACTGACAATGCATTGAAAGTTACGCTGTTAGGTTTTTCTTTTTCTTTTTCTTTTTTTTTTTCCCCCTGAAGGATTTATACTACAGATCAAATTTACTCAAATGGCCATGCAAGGAGTATGTCTAACTCCCTGTTTCCATAATGTAAATTCTATATACTTACTTTAGATACTGCTGATAATCAAAAGGATTCTTCTTATAAACCGAATGGATATTGACCAGTTCTAGAGTTATCAGCACTAAGATCAGACGTAACACAGGTGACAAAAACTTAATGCTAGAAATAAGAAAAAAAATATTTAATTACAAATGAAACAGAATAAACCAAGTTAAACTAAAATCATTACTACAAATCATTCTTCTGACTTCTGAATACATTCTAAAAAGCTGGATTTTGAATGTGGAAAAAAGAAAGACTGTTAAAAGTCCATCAGTGAAGAGCAGAGCAAATAACAAAACTATAAAAAAGCAAGACTATAAACTATGCAACAATAACAAAAAGAGGGAAAAAAGAGGAATATACACACACGCACACCCACATGAAGATATGTACACATAGTCAAGACTCCACAGGAAACCTCCCCACCCATTACCCCAAAGATAGTAAGCTGGAGTTAAACTAAATCAGTAACACACATTGTCAACTTAAGCTATGTTTCATAAATAACAGTTAATGTTTTGAGGAATATCACCAGGCCAAGAAAGTCAGACTTACTATTTCCCTAAAATAACAATGAAAATAAATAAAGGGATGAAAGCACACAGCCAGGGCTCACATTCAGCCTTACCTCCACCCTTCTGCAACACAACACAGTTTCTATTCAGTTATGATTAAGGCTCTTTACTGAGTCTAAGACGAATTGCTCGGAAAGATTAAAGTTTATAATATCTCACTTCCCATGTTCCCTTTCAGTTTTTAAAGAGGATTCATAAACCTTGGAAACCCTTGGAAAACATTTCTGAATGGGAACAAAATTAACAGAATCCTAAAGAACCTCTTATATCTGTAAAGATGACAATCGAGGTATGATAAAAAACAGTAAAACCAATAAAGAAGTTAGAGTCTTGAAAGGAATTTAACAGACTGCACTCAGCTAAAACTTGAATGGCACTTTTTATGCCTAAATAGGAAGACCGGTAATTCAAAAATACAATCTAACATTTAAATGATATTTTTATTTGAAAGCTTATAATTTGCAGTGAAATAGAATAATAATGTTAAAAATATCCATTATTCCCCAACTTGAGATTTTCTTGTTATTTCTAGATTAGTAAATAATGGAAATCAGGGTTAACACATAAACTTTGAAGATGAACAGCTAGCAACAGCAGCACGTCACCACCCTCTCATAAACTTAGCCACAGAGTTAAGAAAAAACATTATCCAACCTGTTTAACATTCTTAGATAGTTATGCCTCTGGCGAGAACGCAGAGTTTTGTTTATCCACTGTTGATATCTCAACTCAACGCAGACAATAACTTGTTCTGACACTTGATGGCACTGTGTGCTTATTTTACGGAGCACCACCAATATTTCCAGAACAGGCCGGGGCGAGTAGAGTGTGCAAATGCGCTTATCACAAAGTTCAATCAACAGCCTTCAAAACAGGAAATAATTATTAGTTTCAATCTTTTGCTAGGAGGACTTAACATAAGATATATTTCATATTCAGCGTGGTTTG